AATGCTCTTTTAGCTGGATTGCCTCAGAGCGTCGGGTGGCCTTTGGTGGGTTTCCTCGGTTTTTAGCTGAAAATAAGTTGATTAACATTAAAACATATGTGGGAGGGGCGGGGGAGTTACAAAATGAAATGCCTAATAGACTGAAATCCACGAGTGCTGGTCCCCTTCTTGTGCTATGCCCTTTAGCTGGTTTGCCTCGGAGCGTCGGGTGGCCTTTGGTGGGTTCTGTCGTATTAATCTTTCTGAAAATATACTATGAGAAATTTATGTTAGTTGAATTTTTTAGACTGAGTGATTCGCCTGTGGCAGAGTGTGACGTGACGGGTGGTGATTTAATGGTTTATAATGTTGAGTAGTGATGTTCCTCTCAACACATTCCCTCCACCAGAGTAACGGAACTAAAGTCTGAGCTATGTTGCTCTCAGACAAAGTCCTGGATATCCAAGAAAACAGCCATATTGGCTCGTTAAGTACATTAACATTAGCTGAACTTGGCACCCACAAGAGAAGGCAAGGAATTTTAGATGTCTATCATACTTGATGAATTATTAGACAGGGCAAGTGATTCCTCCGTCATCTACCTTCTCCCGGTGTTATTATAAATAATTAAAGAATTATTATATTATTAATTGAGCCCCCACCAAATGTAATTCTATCTATGTTTAGTTAAACAGGTAAGACTGAATACACTTGGAATTTAACAAACGATGTAGTATAAAACTTGACATACAGCTTTATTTTCTAACAATCAGTTAATTGACATACCCAGTTTGTTGTGTTTACACAAACAGTGACTAGCTAAAGTTATGATAGTAATGGGTTGTTTCAGCGCGAGAACAGCGCCTGGGATTAGAGTGGTGTGATGAAGGTGATAAAGTATGAACAATTTATGAACATAACTCAAGTTTCATAGAACCTCTGACAGCCGTGAGCACTGTCAAGCTCTTCCTCGTCTTCCAGCTTCTTCCCTGCTTGTTTCTCCTTCTCGCCCCCACCTCGTTCTCCACCTCGTTCCCAGCTGGCCGAGTCTAACACAATGTAGGCTACTTCATGGACTGATCGTCACATGGGCGCTGTAATCATGGAAACAAAACACATACGTGTAGTATCTTGACTTACACTAAGAATACATGTATTAATTAAGACAACATATAATAATAAGATATAGCCCATCACTCCTCCTCATATTTCACATCCTCTCCAGTCTAGTCTGAAGGTCTTTTGTCTTACATGGGCGTCACATTTCCTGCCTTCCCTCTTCATGCTATGTCATGATAGTTGACTTTCTAAGTCTGTGTCCGTCTTCACTCAGACTTCCAATCATTCTTTTTACATCAACACGTGGGGCAGGTTATGTGCTGAAACTCCAACCATTTTATATGTGCATGCTGTCCTAAATATTATCTTTCAGTAACAGTAAATACTGTACACCCATCATTCTTCCCCTGGGGTTATAAATCCCCTGTTTAGTTGAACACATTAAGTGAGCACATGGTGGGCACACAAAACGTAGCAGCATCCCTGCACATATTTGGGCATCATTTCCCACAGTCCAAACTCATATTGTGGCTGATCATGGAAACAATATAATTACATTTCATTATAGCAAATGTCATTGTTCACATCTTATTTTATACACATGAAAACATACACTGAAAAACATGTGACACAAACATACAGGAAATAGGAATAGTTTAGCAGTTCACTAACTTGAGATACTGAATACTCACACAGAACTATTTCAAGCAGAATGTGCAGACAAATTAGGAAAAGGTAGTATAGACTAAGCTTAACTCCCTAACCTAAGTATACAAGATTAATATTAATATTCACCTGGGAACTTTTCCAGCAAATGCCGAACACGACTCAACCAGGGAGAAAGTACTTTTCAACGGTAGGTCTGAGTCTGTGGCCTGCTGGCGGCACTATGAGGTAAATCTACGATGACCGCAGTATAAGTATTAATCTATTGTCCAAATTAAACTCCTCCCTTTCCTTAGTTTTTACCCAACCCTCAAGATGATGGCTTAAGCCACTCCTCCGAAGTACCTATCACATCAAATTAGCTAACAAGTGGCCTGTCACTCACAGTGAACGGCCTACAGTACGACCTTGACCAAGATAAAACATCCCTAATTGCCAAACACCTGTTCTCTCCAGAATTACACTGACGTGTTAAACTCCGACCTCCCGGCTCCACAATGTCTAGCGTCTACTCAATTTACCTGTTCAAAAGGGCCCCGCTCAGTCTCTACAGTCTGGTCAGGAGATAACATTCTGACACTGGCATGAGAATAGAATTCCTAGCTACAGTGTAAAGTTTTAGGTAATATTACCAAAGACTTAGTCGCTTTGTCTGGACTAAGGACTGGAAACGTCTAAATCAATACGGTTTAAAGTAACATTTGGTTTAAGGGCATAGTCTCTTGTCTCTCAATAACCAGAAGAACTTATTACAAGTACTAACTTCTGGAATCACTGAGATCGTTTCGTGACACAG